GAAGTGCTGCCGAAATTCTGCAGCGGCGGCACGAGTTTTTTCAGCGGTGGTGAGGAAGCGCTGCCGGATTGTTGCGGCGGCGGTTCTGTTTTTTTCAGCGGTGGTGCGGAAGCGCTACTGGATTGTTGCGGCGACAGTTCTGGGTTTTTTCAGCGGTAGTGCGGGAAGGCTGCTGAATTTTTTTTGAGGCGTCAGTATCATATTCTTGCAGTGACGGCGCTTTTTTTTACGACAATAACAACAATATCTGTGCACTAAGTGGAGGTGCGTCAAAGAGGTAGTTTTATTTTGAAGTGGCGTGAGGGTGACGCCGGGGAGACGCCGTACTTTGGACGCAAGTGGCGGTAACTAGAAAACACGGCAAGGATTATTGGAAAGTGATTGAGTACTGAGAGGGTGTCCTGGCAGGTGGTCGTTACAAGAGAGGAGTATCGATCACTTTGGTGATGACTGGGTACAACAACCTTCGCGTCAGGAGAGCGTAAATTCTATACGGTCTTCTTGGGTATACCGTTAAAACTTCACTCAAGGTTAGTTAAATTGACTCAGTTCCCTTCACACCTGAGTGAACCCATACTTGCTTTGACCTGTTTCACTGATTGTTCATTGAAAAAGGGAACAGAATGTGTGTGTTTGGGTGTATGACAGGAAGTCTGACAATGGAAAAGGATTGCATGGTGGTCTGTGTGTCGTTGGGTTTTGACTGCAGGTACGACATGTGGACTGAGATGGATGAGGGTGATGGCGGTGAAAGAATGGTTAACTTTTTCACCTCTGTGCTTGTATTCAATGTATAAATAAAAGAAAAAGAAGACGACGAGAAACGAAGCAAGCATAAGGAAGAGAAATTCAACTTGGTTTAGACTTATCCCTGAGGTTACCCATTCTTTCCCGAATGACTCTCTTCCACCTATGCCTGTCAGTCTGAATGATTCTATCTTTCTACGATTTCCTCTTTCTTCGTCCAAGTTTATTTTGACGCTAGGCGCCAAGACTCTACTTGTCTGCCGTGTAGGTGTTTTTCCTATTTCTAGGAGGCATCTAGGGCGGGGGTCGGTTGCCTTAGGGGCCGGCCCTGTTATCGACTCAGAGTGGACCGCTTTGCGGGGGGGTACTATGCCGATTCGGTGGAGACCGCCCGACTTCTGAAATCCGAGTTTTATACTCGGACGAGGAGAAGGAGTATCCCAGACCACCTCTTAGGGTAATGGAAAAGGCATCCACACGGAAGAAAATCTATTTCTTGACGCCTTGCGAAAAAGGAAAACTGCCTTAGCAATCTTGTTTAAGTGGTCATCCTAGGTACCACCAATGTATGGAGAGTTAGCGCCACAAGCAGCCCGACTTATGTTCTACTAGTTGAACGGAGTACATTTAGATACTCCTGACGAGGTTGGTCGTGCCATAAGAAGCACGGGCCGTAAGGAAGACAAAAATCGAATAATACTCAAGGGCAAGAGCTTAACTCAAACCACATTTGTCTTCTTTTTCTTTCAGATGACTATGGGATCCACAAAACTATTCTTTTTCAACAATCGTGATGTGGCGGCGGAGAGAGTTGAACTCCAAAGGCGTGATGGAGTGAGGGTAGAAAGGGTAGGCTGACTTATTTATAATCCGTCAGAATTATATTCTGAGGAGGACGTTCCGCGATTTTGGGGTGGTAGTGCGCAAAGACCCCCCAGGCGACTTGTTTTCAGGAGTGATAACGGCCTGGATATTCTTCATTACGAGTTCGCACCTCCATATTGCCCGAAAGTTACTTGGTCAATATGAACCTGGTGGTGTTGCAGCCCTATGAGTTAAACCAACGAGTGGACGAAATCCCTGAAATACGGTTGATGTTTGTCAGTTACGTGCTTTGGCTGAACGAGCGGCAAGGCCCATTTTTTGGCATATACTACGCGGAGCGGATACGTGTCAATAGGTACGCAATTATAGGGGCTGAATCGTTATATGATGATGAATTGCAAAATGAAGTGGAAGAACTCGAGGAGTTTTTACGTGACTTATTTGGATTCGTTCTGATACGCAGATGCCTGGAGCACGACGAGACTTGACGATCCCGAGGTATCTGCTGCTCCGTGATACACCCGAGGAGGATCTCATCAGGAGTGCAGCGCGACTTTTACAAGTTCGAGATGGATCTCCCATCGACTGGTTTGGCTTCATTGGACTGCTTCGAAATGGCGAGGGATTTTTCCCTAATACTCGCGCGGATTTCAGAGCCAATACGGCTCGAACTTCCGACGAGCTTTACGGTTATACTTTGTATTTTCACCGCGCGAGTAACCTCCAATGTCTCTCACGAGTCATTGTGAGTATCAAGATTACCTCGTCCGGTTGGCATTTCGGCGTCGTTCGGATCCGGGACACAGAGACTCGACACCTGTTTGGACTTAATCGACCTCTCTGAGTTATAGTTTGAAGGCTAGCCTCTCGGATGACCTCCTTCTATAATACTCGGATTGTCAGAGTCATGCCATGTGGACGAATGTCTATTTTGATTTTCGACGACGACGAGCTGGCACATTTGGATTTATTGGAGGCACAGGTGCGTGGCGGGCGAGAGATTTACCAGCATTACACATCGTCTTCTGAAATCTTACTTAGATTTCAGAAAACACTTCGCATGGACTCAGTCCCGTTGAGGAAACCATATAACTTATGGTTTCACGAGATAATCTAAAAACAAAAACAAAACACTTTATGTAGTTAGGACCGCCGGATGGATAGTATTTGGATTACCGCGATGATTTCACTATCATGCATATGCATTGAGGGGTAATCGTTCACATAAAAATAAGCTGGATAAAGTGAAAAGCGAACGTCTGAAAAAGTTGTTAAGCAAAGCAACGGAAGATGAAATATTTCTGCGTTGCGTAACTTGGCGTTAGAGATGGATACTCCATCATTCGTTGAACAGAAAGAGTAATTATTGTCCAGGAGGACAAAGCGACCAACAAAGTTGTCATCTAAATAGTTATATATGGTACGGAAACGTGGTCGAACCGGGAGTTCAAACATCAACCAGGAACTAGATCACTTGTTGATCTGCATGGTACAAGTGATATTTACTTACACAAGCTATTCATGATAAGTTTCAGTAGTCATGATAATAAGATCAGTTTTAGTTTATTTCTTTCAATTAATAATCTTGGAATGACAATATAAAAGATCTTTAAGTCATACAGGTTGAAAGGAAACATTTTGGTAGACTAGCTCATCATGTCAACGATTTTGGATTGTGTGATTTTGTTTTAAGGTATGGAGATTTTTGTTGTTTGATTGTTAGGGACTACGGATTGTTTTCACGCTTGGTTGAGACTGTCCTAATCGACCGGCGTACGCTTCGTACTTGGGAGATCAAGGCCCCAGGGAACGAACGACGCTCGGGTTCATTCGGCGTTTTGTCAAACAATTCCTATACTGCAGCGAGACGAGCAAATGCCCTCGGCTAATGTACCTCTGCGATTGCATTTTAAAGCCTTCGTATGTGGATCAGTAGTTCGGTAGGGATACGCCCCTAAGGATCGTGGCAGCCCCTTAGGGATGCAAGCTTATGCCCTGCAGGAACCTGTCATGTTGTAGGGGACCGTGGGATGTATAGCTGGCGCACGCGGCTAGAGTGGCGAAGGAGCGAAGCAACCGCGTCCGTCTCGGCGGTTCACGGAACAGTATGCGTCGTTCTGAAGTTGTCTCTGAAAGTTATGTTTTTAGGTAAACTCCTGCGTGACATGGCCGGGAGGGCCCTCGTTTTCACGCGAGGGCCGATGCGCTCGACAGGTGGCGCCGTTGCCGGGGATAACGGCAAACTACCGTTGTCCCTAGCGGAACGACACTGGGGTGATTAATGAAGTAAAAAGTTATTTTTTTTTTTTGACCTCAGAAAAAATCAGTAAATTAATCCCAAAATTATGAAATATTATTTATGCAGAAGGATTGACTGAATTCTGTTGAATATGTTGTTGTAATTTTCTTCACTCAAGATGGCTGGTAACAACGACAATCAGGATGGGAGAAGCAATGACATTCGGGAGTTTGCAACAATTATTCAGCAGTCCCATGATCAAATCCTGAAGGTTAACGTTCCATTGCTTGATGGTAACAACGCCTCGAGATGGGCAGAAAAATTCGAGCAATTGGGAAGTTGCTGCGAATGGTCGAATGAAAAGATGTTGCGAATGGTGAAGAGATACTGCAAGATTCAGTACAAGGAAGAGGTGCAGGAGTTGGTACAATATTCGCTGGACTGGCCAGAATTCAAAAGGAAGCTGCTAGAAAAGTACTAGTTGAGCGATCAACTATTGGACTTGACCGATTTGAGGAAGGTTAGTCGGAAAAGCTTTGGTACAACAAAGCAGTTCCTTACTGAATTCGAGCGGGTGCGAAATTAGTTCCTGACCTTCCAGATAAAGATCGTTGTCTCATCATCCTGGATAATTTCACGGAGGTGGAGCAGCTAAAATTGGTGAAAGGCATGAAAGAAAGGTATGATTGGCCAAAAATTCGAGAGAATTTATTGGCCGGGGACTTCGATCAGATCCTCTATCGGCTGCTGAAACAGGAGAATGAGAATTGGGAAAGGTTACAATTGGGGACGGACAAGGACAAGGAGGTCTATAAGACCTTATCTGACATGAGGGAAATGATGAGCAGTATGAAGGAGGAACGGTTAAAACTTCAAGTGATGGTGGCCAAGGCGAAAACTGGGAAGAGAAAAGGGAAGGAGCCTGTCACTGAAGAGAGTAGCAGTGAGAGTGAGAGCGAGGAGGAAAGGCAACCCCCTCGTAAGTTGACCAAGGCAGAGAGGAAAGCCTTGAACCAGATACGAGGAGGGCAAGGTACTTCTCGTAAACAAGGGGAAAGCAGCAAGAACGGAGGAAATGGAAGCGGAGAGCGACAAGTTGACCAAGGACAACAAAATCGAGGTCAACAGACTCAACCATAGGGTGGTCGAGGCCGTGGTAGAGGCCGCGGAAACGGAGGCGGGCGTGGGAACTGGCAGGAATACGTCTGCAAATATTGTGATATGAAAGGACATGTTATTCATTTCTGCAAGATTCTCGCCAAGGACGAGAAGGACCACATCGTCTTCACGACGATTCGAGGAGAAGTCTTTGACTTCGAAGGAAATCTCATCGATCAGGATATTGAAGGAGGAATGGGAAAGGAGGCTTTTCGACGGATGTGCCGTCCTCTTCCGGCTACATTCCGGTTAGTTTCTCCTGAAGAAGCAAGCCTTTTTGAGTTAGAAGAAACAATGGTTTCTCTGAAGATCGGCGGGTGTGACGAAAAAGAGTTGGAGGAAAGGAAAAAAGACATTGCTCATCGGGCACGAGAGGTGACCAAGAAACTGGACAAATGTCGAGATTCCATTGTTCAATTATGTGTTGACATGGAAGAAGTCTGGCCAAATCTTCCTAATGTATTTATTTTTGGTGGATGGGGGAACGAAGGTCAGGACAGGTCAGCACTTGCGGCCGCTTCGGCACCTGAAGCAACGCCAATGACACGGCCAATGATGATGTCTAGACCTGTACTCAAGCGAGGGATGCCAACCGTCATGATGCAGACGAGGAAAGGAAGGAAAACCTCAAAATCACAGTCTGCGCCAGGAGAAAGTTCAAAGGGACCTCTGGAAAAAGAACCTATTCAGGTAGAAGAAGGGAATGATGATGAGGAGGATAAAAGATTGCGAGCAGAGGATGAACTGCTAGCAAAGCAAAGAGCTATGAAAAGGCCGTCGAAAACAGGGAAGACCCAGGTCGAGGATGAAGAACCTCGCAAAAAGAAGAACGTGTACTCGATCCCTGTTGAACAAGGGATTGATTTTGAACAGTTGGTGGATCGTATTCTGGAAAGTCAGCGTGATCTGGTTACCCTGAAGGAGATTCTTGCAGTATCGCCGAAGCTCCGCGAGAAATTTAAGCAGCGTATGACTCGAAAGAAAGTCATGACAGTCAAGCCGAGTGAGATCATCCCTCCAGAAGCTAACTGGGCACCTCCTGGCATGAAGATGGACTGGCGATGCGTGGTCACAGGTCTCATAAAAGTTCAAATCGGTCGTGGAGAGTTCTCTGTTCTCGTAGATGATGGGGCCGAAATGAACATCATGAGAGAGAGGCATGCGATTGAAGCTGGGATTCAGATCAATCGCAATGACTTTGAATTTTTGATTGGAGCCAACGGGGCAACGTCATTTTGCGGTACGGCTAGTGGCGTAATGGTCACAGTTGGGAAGGTAAAAGCGAGATCATATTTTTATATATTGCGAAAGGTTGAACACGAAGTGTTTTTGGGAAGATCTTTTCAATGTCGCACAAAGAGCATAATCTTCAACAAGCATGACAGCACCATGTTTGTAGCTTTGTGCGATCCGGTTTGCGGCCATTATGAAGTGGTAAAATGCGCGAATACCGGACCAGCAAATTCAAGGAACCGGTTGAATCCCGAATCATATACATTCTTAGAGTCTGAGGAGTTGAGAAGGGAGAAAGAGGCGATCAATGAAGAAAGGGATCCTCATGAGTTTTCGTTGACATTGCCAAGTATCTCACAGGCAGTCGATTTTGCAGCATGATGTATGATCCGAGTCTGGTACAAGCCCTGATGGAGGCTGTGGTTGACAAGGAAGGTGCAGGAAACATGCATCTTATTTATCGGCCAAATGAATCTCGCATGTAGGAATCACTGCCATCAGCCAGGCAAGAGTCTTTTTTAGGGGACGGAAGCTCAACGTTGGATCCAAGAGGAAGTATAAGAAAGTAGGAGAGAAGGCGCGACCAGTGTCCGTTCTGATCACTCAGGAAAAGGAAGTGTATTACAAGGACGAACGTGAGTGGATCAGAACGTTGAAGGAGAAAGGTGAGAAGGGGCCGTGTCGATTGACGGATGACAGGGTCAAGGAGATGATCATTGGAGAGGATGGCCTCCTTACTAAGGAGGAAATCCAATTCTTTATCGACGTTATGAAGAAAGTTCATCTTGCTTATGCTTTTGATGATGATGAGCGTGGAAGGCTGGACGTCGATATGATTCCAATGATCCGGATTCATACGGTACCGCATGAGTCATGGAATGTGAGAGACCCACGATATCCGAATCCAGACGATCACCGGAAGGTGGTGGATTATCTTGATGGTAAGATTCGGACCAAAGTGGCAGACTATTCGTATGGGTCGTATGCGTCTCCTTGGTTCTGCTTTATCAAGCCGAACGGTGTTTTGCGATGGGTTCAGGACCTGCAGAAGTTGAATTTTGTAACAGTCCGAGATGCGGGCGGACTTCCGAACGCCGATCAACTCTCGGAATCTTGTGCAGGCAGGCCCATCATCACCCTAATTGATTTATATTCAGGGTATGATCAGTTCCCGTTGTACATAGAGGATCGACCTATGACGGTGGGGACTGCTTCATATGTGCGCGGCTCCGCAAGGTTGGACAAATGTTGTGGCAATTGTGCAGAGATATATGATGAGAATCATGCAGCTACTTTGTCCAGACGTGACTTCTCCATATATTGATGATTTGGCTATCCCAGGACCCCGAGTCAAGGACGAGACTGAAGTGTTACCCGACGTTCGAAAGTTCGTGTGAGAACACATCAGCAATGTGGAAAAGGTTCTGAGGAAACTGAAGGAATACAACCTCACTGCTAGTGGGGTTAAATCAAGGCATGGTATGAGGAAGGCGGTAATACTGGGTTTCCTTTGTGATGAGAAGGGTCGTCGGCCAGATACCCAGAAGACAAATAAGATCTTGGAGTGGCCGACTCCCTTCAGATCCATTACCGACATTCGGAGTTTCCTCGGGACATGAGGATTTTCGCGTATTTTTATCCGTAGATTTCCAGCAAGGGTGGAACACTTGCGGAAGTTAGTACGCAAGAACCAGGTCTCGGAGTGGGGACAGAAGCAGCAGACAGCCGTTGAGGATATTAAAGCTGAGTTTCGAGAAGGCGGCCTGATTCTGGGAGTTTCTTGCTTTGATGATGTTGAAGGTCGTCCTTTCATCATTGAGACCGATGCAGGTCCTACCGCTTTGGGAGGAGCTTTGGTCCAAAAGGATGGGGAAGGACGGGAACGACCATTGAGGTTCGAGAGCAGAACTATGAATATTACTAAGTGGAACTACTCCCAGTTCAAGAAGGAAACTCTCGCTGTGCTTCACTGTCTGCGTATTTTCAGGAATTATGTATTTGGTAGGCGGTTCATTCTGCGAGTTGATCCTACGGCTCTGGCTCAATCATTAAAAAATTATTCTCCTTCTGATCCGACCATTGCTCGATGACTGACGTATATTTGGATATTCAATTTTGAGACTGAGCGCATTTCAGGCACTCAGAATCGAGCAGATGGGTTGAGTCGTATTGATTGGGACTCATCGACGGATCAGGCTGAGAATTCAGTCCCTGTGGATGGATTCCTGGAAGGAGAAGAGTCACAGTTGAGTATTAACTCATACAATTATTTGGCGGATGCAACAATCCGGCATGGAAAAACCATCTGGAATCCTCCTTGTTTCCATCATGTGCGATCAGAGTTTGTGATTGGGGAGCCGTTCATTCAGGAAGACCCATGGGGTGAAAGAACATCTGAGCAAATGATGAACTTGGGTTTGTCTGATGAAGTTGAGCTCATCAAAGAGCCGTTGACGATTGAGTATGGGCATGAGCAGGCTGATAAGACTTTCAGGATCACTGGAGAGATGTCATTCCTTGTGAATTCTCTAATTCACGAGGGCCGCCTGAAAATGATGAATGAAGAAGCAGAAGGTAGTAGAATCAGAGAAGCTTTCAGAGAAGGAGAGTATGATTGGGAGTACAGATTGATGGGAATGTGGTTGAATGGTAAGTTGGGGGACGATGAGGTGGATCCAACTGTTCGTCAGAAAAGTAAGGATTTTGTTGTAAGATATGGTCATTTTTTCAAAGAAATCCAACGATGATATTCCAAGAAGAGTGGTATATGGGGTTACACGACAACTTGATGTGATTGCAGCTTTGCATGATGGGGTCGCAGGCGGACATAGATCGGCGCGAGTCACTTTGAAAAAGATTCAACATCTTTATTTTTGGAAAGGAATCAACAAGATGGTAAATGACTTCTGTAACTCTTGTCTTCCTTGCCAAAAGCGATCTAATCTACGTTTTGTTGAACCTCTTCATCCACACTATGTAGCTGACCCGGGAGCAATGGTACACCTGGATCTATTGGTCATGCCACCTGGGATAAATAGGTACAGATATATCTTCAATGCAACGGATAATCTAACTGGGTTCGTTGATGGTTGTGTCATTCGCGAACGTACTGGACATGTTTTAGCAGAATGCATTGAGGAATATTATCTTCGGTACCCATTTGTCCGGGAAATTATTATGGATCGAGGTGGTGAGTTTCGGGCTGGGGAGGTACAGACGCTTCTGAAAAAACTAAGAGTAAGCTTTAGCTATACTACAAGGGCACATCCCCAGGCCAATGCGCCAGTTGAACGTGGACATGCGTCTCTAACAAATTTGTTGGCAAAATGGTGCGGAGATGATCCATCAAGGTGGCCGATGTATCTGAGAACGACATTTTTTGTCGAGAATGTCACCATAAAGCGGACAACTGGATACGCTCCAGTCACATTGTGGTTTGTGCGTCATGCAGCTTTTTCGATCGAAAGTTTTCTTACCACTTGGAGAAAGCAGGATGTGGAAACGAAGCTTTCAACGCAGGAGTTGTTGGAATTGAGGGCAAGACAAGTGATGATCACTGAGGAAAGGATTGAGGAGGCCGCTGCCTCTACTGCAGAGAGTAGACTGGCCGACAAGGAAAGATGGGATAAGGGGCCTCGTATTCGTAAGGAACCTTTGAAAGTTGGGGATATTGTACTTCTTTATGCTTCGTCCTTGGAAAAACAATGGTCTCGAAAATTGAACAGCCGATGGTTGGGGCCCTATCGTATTATCAGAAAATCTGAGCATGGGGCTTATGAGATCGAAGAGATGGATGGGGCTCGAGGTAGAAATTGGGTGTCGGGATCGCATTTGAGAAAATTTATTCCAAGGACTTAGAAAAGGGTTTTTTTTTATAGACTTCCTTTTTACAACTTGCTTTTCCTTTTTTATTTCTTTTGGGATCACTAATTGCTGACTGGTTCTAAGGACAGACAAGAGAATTATAACTTTGGACTCTTGGGATTTGATTTTAATTATGGGACCTATGGTTCCATGTTTTTGTATAATTAATAAATTCTACGACTCCTGTTCATGGAATTATGTTGTGATTTTGGATCGAAAAATTATTGATTCCTAAATTTGAATGATTTTTTGTTACTTTTTCGATGAAATGTGATGCAATGCAAATTTATAAATATTTTTGGCCTGGAATGTTATGGAGCTCTCTGTGAAAATGTATGTTGTTATTTGATGTATATTCTCGTTGTAAAAAAAAGTTTTCGGAAACTGATATGTAATTTGGATTATATTGTTTATGGCATAACTATGAGTTATTCACGAAGCATGTAATCCAATTATTTATCATAGCCTAAAACTTTCGTAATGTTTTTAGTTATCATATTATGATGAGTCCTGATGCAGTGAGCTCCGTAGATGGTAGTGAGGCCTACGCCGGAACTTGTTCCTGGTCCATAGTGGGATGCTGTCACTTTTCCTTTTTAAGGAAGGTGGCTACACTATCATTGAAAGGGGGGAAGGTATTGTTGTGATTGTTGGAATCTTGCTTGTAAGGGTGACGACTGCCGCTCGTCATGGGGGAAGGAGTGGTCACCTTGACCTTGTGACGAATGGGGTCGCCTCGCCTCTATGACCGGGTCTGACCAACCTAGGTCATAGAGCAAGGGTAGTTCAACCTTGCAAGTAGGGGACTGGCAAGCACATGATACTGGAATCGGAGGGAAGGTGGTGAGACTCGAGTCTAAAGCGGGGCTTGACGTGCGTATGAGGACCCCGAAAAAAGGTCTACTTCAACAAGGAAGAAAGCAAATTGTGAGACCCGATGGATGCGTAGAGGCGAGGGAGAGGACGGTTCCGCCTCACCCCGATGACGCCATATAGCCACAATGCTTAGGGAAATGGTGTGTGGCCTAAGGATGACGCTTAGCCTACGCACAAGAGAAGAGAAACACTCAAAGAATCATTGGACTGCCTGCGCATTGGAAGGAGCAATTGTATGAGAACACAACAAAGAATAAAAAAAAATCAGCGTTGTGGAACGACCAGCGAGACTACCACCCGGCGTGAGGGCTGAGCTACATCCCCAATGTCAAAGCTCTCTCGTGCGATGACCCACCCCCATCCATCTCAAAGCACTAGGTGGGGGTGACCTCGGGACGAACAGCCCGCGCCCTGAGCATGAGCGTGGGTGGGCCGAGCGAACTGGGACCCGCAGTGGGGTCGACTAAGGCTCGAAAGTCTACCGGGGGTTTGGCCCTACACCGTGCACGCGCCCCACCAGCAGGCCCATGCAAATGCTAGCACAACAACGCAGCAGCATGTCTGCATTGCCTGCCAAGGCCAGAATGCCCCTCCCAGGGGCTCGCATGTCGCACTTACTGTCTGGCGCCCAGCGCCCAGCCTCTAGCCTATCTACGTTCTCGCAACTCGATCACTCTAAAGTTGAAGACCAATGTACGTGACGTCAACACAAAGGTCGACTACCAGCATACACCACGTACGTTCTCT